CAATGAGCACGAACAATCTGTGCACACCTGGGACTGGCTACACCTGTGGGAGCCATGGTATGAGATGCCAGATGCATGTACAGGTGTGTACAGGTGTATAACTCCTTCTAACCCATACAGGTGCATCACAGGTGCACACAGATCCATAAACTATTATAACGTTCTCTAACCTATACAGGTGTGCACAGGTGTATAACTCGTGTACGGGTGTCTGAGTATCCAGGTGTATGTATGTATAGGTGTGTGTACAGGTGTATAACCCATCCAGGTGTATCCCAGGTGAGCTCACCTTGCTGTCCTTGCAGTACATCTCGTACTGCTGGATCATCTGCCGTGAGGCCAGGCTGCCGTGGTACACGATGGTGTTCAGGTGTGTCCAGGTGCTGAACTCGCGCTCCCAGTTGGCGATGGTGCTCAAAGGTGCGATGACCAGGTAAGGGCCGCGCACGCCGGCCCCGTGCACCTCCTGCAGGAACGCGATCGACTGGATCGTCTTCCCCAGCCCCATCTCGTCCGCCAGGATGCAGTTCTGCCTGAGGGACAGGTGAGCACAGGTGAGGCACAGGTGAGGCACAGGTGAGGTGAGGTTGGAGCAGGTAAGGGACAGCCAGGACAGGTGAGGCACGGATGAGGAGAAAAGGGAACGAGTAACGTGCACCGGGGGCAGGTAATGTACACCTGGGGCAGGTAATGTACACCTGAGACAGGTAAGGTATAACAGGGACAGGTAAGCACAGGTGAGGTACAGATGAGGAGAAAAGGGAACGAGTAACGTGCACCTGGGGCAGGTAATGTACACCTGAGACAGGTAATACACGCCTGGGAAACGCAGTGCACACCTGAGACAGGTAAGGTATAACAGGGACAGGTGAGCACAGGTAAGGGGATAATGAGACAGATAAGGTGCACCTGGGACAGGTAATGTACACCTAGAACAGGTAATATACACTTGGAACAGCTAACGTACACCTGGTTGTTTACCTGCCCCCAGGTGTGTTTACCTGTCCCAGGTGTATTTACCTGTCCCAGGTGTGCTCACCTGTTGTACCAGTTGAACAGGAGCCAGTTCACCCCCTCCAGCTGATACTCCCGGAGCTGGTTGTGTTTACCTGTCCCAGGTGTACATTACCCCTGCCCAGGTGTGTTTACCTGTCCCAGGTGTGCTCACCTGTTGTACCAGTTGAACAGGAGCCAGTTCACCCCCTCCAGCTGATACTCCCGGAGCTGGTTGTGGTTTTTGTACTCGTGGGACGCCTCCAGCTTCTTCCAGGCGCCGGCCTGGGGGCGTGGCTGCGGACAGGTGAGACAGGTGAGGGACAGGTGAGACAGGTGAGGGACAGGTGAGGCCCAAAACGTGACAAAACCACCCCAAAAGCGTTTAAAATGGAGGTGGAAATAACGAACGGAGCTCAAATGAGCCAAAACCGACCAGAGGTGAGCTCAGGTGTGACCAGGTGGGCTCACCTGTGCTGGGGCTCCTCCAGGTGAGACGGGGTCACACCTGGTGGGGGCTGGGGCTCAGCCGGATGTGGGTGTGGCTCACGTCTACGTGTGTGTGTCTCACCTGTGCAGGTGTTTGGGTCTCATCTGTGCAGGTGTGCATGTGGGTGTCACCTGTGCAGGTGTGTCTTAGGTGTGTGTGTCTCACTTGTGCAGGTGTGTCTGTGTCTCACCTGTGCAGGTGTGTCTCAGGAGTCCATGCCTCACCTGTGCAGGTGTGTCTCAGGTGTGTGTGTCTCACTTGTGCAGGTGTGTCTGTGTCTCACCTGTGCAGGTGTGTCTCAGGTGTGCGTATCTCACCTGTGCAGGTGTGTGTGCATGTGGGTGTCACCTGTGCAGGTGTGTCTTAGGTGTGTGTGTGTCTCACCTGTACAGGTGTGTCTGTTTGTGTCTCACCTGTACAGGTGTGTCTCAGGAGCCCATGCCTCACCTGTGCAGGTGTGTCTCACCTGTCTCTTGAGCTCGGGGTGCCGGGCCTGGATCCGTTTGAACTCGGCGATTTTGGCCTCGTCCACGTCCTCCTGCAGCTCCCAGGTGCTGTCCTCGTAGGGCAGCGAGCACCACTTGACCAGGTAATACACCACGGGCTGGGGGAGGGGCAGCACACCTGTCAGGGCTCAGCCTGAGCACCTG